AATATTACCTACGAGAATTTGGTTCCTAACACTACTATTCCATGTCTGCATGCAGGCTCCAATTGTCGGTGCCGGGGATGCGAAGGTCGGAAAGTACCTGGTGCGGCCGGGAGGCTTCAATGTGCCGATGAAGCGTAAGGGCTCGCATGCCCCGCAAGATAAGGTACGTGCATTTTTTGTCTTACTGCTACACCATAACACTGAGCGTCGAGTACGCAGGAGCGATCTCCATCGGTCCGGCGCAACACGCATCCTGCGGATGCCGACGAATCATCTGAGGCCCCGGTGAAGCGTCTCAAAGCTTCGGTAAGTGCTCAGACTACGCTCCGTGTGCACATAACGCGTGTTGACCACGACAATGGACCAGTTGACCACCACACAAGCGGGCCCCACGCATGCAGATAAGGTTGGTGCGGGCATCTCGGAGGCACTGCCAGGTCCGGACCGCATAAATGCGGCAAGGGAGGTAAGTACTGTTCACACTCCCATTGCCCATGTTTCCGTTTTTCGCTCTAATCACTTAGGTGTACCACCCTGTAGGAAAATCAGCAACGGGCACAAGTGGCTGCTGGGACCACGATCAAGCTCGGAAGATTTGGTGTTCCCTTCAAAAGAATGCCGAAGGTATGTCTTGCACACTGCGTGGGCTGTTTGACGCTAACCAGAATTCGTATTCGTGTTAAAAAAGATGCCAGGGACGTCGGGCTATGCTGGGCAGGTTACGCCAGCTGCCCTTGTAGCACATCCAGCCGCATCCGGCGATCCCGAGGTACCAAGGGGTGAGCCGGAGGTTGCTATCGTAAAACACACCAAGCCGGCCGGGAGAAGCACAAGCAAGGACACTGACGTGGAGGTCGTGGACGAGGGGAGCCAGAATGTTGCAGAGAGTGCCAACCGCAAGTCCGCGCCCCCTGTCCCCGTGGCTACTAAGCCTCGCCCACGCCCGCGCGTATTGAAGGCCCCTCGGCCCGATCCGTTTGGCCCAGCCATGGTGGGTCAGGACAAAGCCGCTACGCCCGTCGGCCTGGCGGAGCGATTCCGGTCTCAGGGTGAGGGATCAAGCCACCACGTCGGGGCTGATGCCGCGGTTGAGGATGACCGGGTGTCACACCACAATGCAGCAGAGTATGGCGGGGCTCCGGATCGGAGCCATCTTGAGGGCAACGAGGTCATGGCTTCGGTAGGTGCTCATGCCATCCTGTCACATATATACTCATCATTAGCCTCAGCCTTCGGAGATTACGCAGGTCGTGCTGAACAGGACTGAGCACGGTGAGTGTTGTTTGTAGTTACAGTTCCACACTGCCTGGTTCTCGGCACTGCCCCGAGTGTCATGTGCATGACTCCAGCCGACGCTCGTATACACGCCTGCTCAGCGGTGTCGGCTCGGGCATGCATCCGGACTGTATGACCACCAGGTGTCAAGTCTGATGAGGCCGTGTTTATAGCGTACCGAGTACACGACGAGACCATGCTGCTCGGCAGGGAAGAAGACCCATTTTTCACGTTTTCGGTGACAATGACTGATCGTCACGATCCCGAAAATCATTTGTGGGAGGCAGACAGTCACCCTGATGTGGACTGGCCGCCAAATTGTATTGTCATGTTTTCCAAGGCTTGATTACCTGATTCGCTGACATATCCGTACTCAGTTCCCGGACCAGCCTTCACTGGTGCCACACCGACACGAGTCGCTGAGCTCCAGGCGGAGAAGGCAATCATCATGGCTCGCATTGACGCGCTTACCGCGCTTCAAGCAGCCAATAATCGTAATCACCGCGCCGTTGACTGGGTAACGGAGTACTATCAGGCGCGGGGTCGGTCGGGGTAACGGGCATAGTCATAATGTGTGTAGTAAATCGTTGGAATGATCTGAATGCTATACTGGTCCCTCACACTGAAGTCGCCGAATGATATCTATCACGGATGGGCACTGAATATAAATGGTAAAACGGTCGGTGAGTCACAGGCCGGACCGTCGAAACGTCGGGCCGAGCCTACCCAGCCAGCCCTGGGTAGGTGCTGCAGGCCGTATGCAACGCCGGCCGGACCGTCGAAACGTCGGGCCGAGCCTACCCAGCCAGCCCTGGGTAGGTACTGCAGGCCATATGCAACGCCGGCCGGACCGTCGAAACGTCGGGCCGAGCTTACCCAGCCAGCCCTGGGTAGGTGCTGCAGGCCATATGCAACGCCGGCCGGACCGTCGAAACGTCGGGCCGAGCCTACCCAGCCAGCCCTGGGTAGGTACGGCAGGCCATATGCAACGCCGGCCGGACCGTCGAAACGTCGGGCCGAGCCTACCCAGCCAGCCCTGGGTAGGTACGGCAGGCCATATGCAACGCCGGCCGGACCGTCGAAACGTCGGGCCGAGCCTACCCAGCCAGCCCTGGGTAGGTACGGCAGGCCATATGCAACGCCGGCCGGACCGTCGAAACGTCGGGCCGAGCCTACCTACCGAGCCCCGGGTACGGCGGACAGGTTACATCAATCGCCGGCCGGAACGTCTCAGCAGTACTGGAACTGGCATTCTGAGATACCGGCCACCACGTCTGGTAGGCATTCATGGTTGACAGGCCGTCACGCTTTGAGTGGTTGTGCTCACTCGCCGGCCGGAGCGTCTCATTTGAAGAATGGTAATGGACGGCCGAGCCTACCCAGACGTGTGGGGAAACCCATGCATCCTGGCCACCACACCGCTCATGGCATCCGTTCAGCGTCGGCCGCCACGTTCCCAGCATTCCACGGTGCCACCGGCCGGAACGCTTGCATCGACCGACTGCTCGCTCCGGTCGGCCTCCGGGCCAACGTTCCAGACGGCCGAATCTCACTCCGGGTTTACCGTTGGTAACGGGTTAGACACACTAAATAATGTGGCTAAGCCTCACTTCACGCCATCAGCCCAAGGTCAGCTGCATCTTGTCAATGAGGCGAACTTCCGCTCCCGGATGTTTGTCTGGGCCGTCACCGGATCCATGTCCATAGCCCCTGACTCGCTTGGCATAGATGTAAGTGGTACTATTGTAATACGTATGAGTGTCACAGCCTCATAATAGTCTCAACTTATCTAGGTTTACTTCCTCAATGAGGGTGAAAACGGATATAGCCCAGGCGTAGATGCCCAGTTACGGGCCAATTACTTTCAGCAAGGTATCTTTTCGTTCGGAACTTGTGGTTCTCGGGTGCATATTCCGTTCCCTTATCTTCTCGAGCTCATGCGTGCTACATACACTCCTGAAGCTGACCTGCAAAACGCACGGGAAGCCTTTGATAATTGGGTGTTCTTGCAGACTTTGAATGCTATAGGAGGGCATGGTGAGCCTACTGAGTAAGATTTGACGTTTCGAACGGTAGACCCGGAGTGAGATTCGGCCGTCTAAGACGGTGCGGCCGGCGCCGGCCGGAGGGGTCCGGGTCAACGTTGCAGACGGTTGCGTTCCAACGTTCCGGCCGGAGTGCTGGCCGGCCGGGCACGTCTCGTCTCCAACGTTCCGGCCGGCCTGCACCCTGTCCCTGCGTCCCCCAGCGGTGCACCCGGAGCATCCCATCCCCCGTTCCAACGTTCCGGCCGGAGGACTGGCCGGCCGGGCACGTCTCGTCTCCAACGTTCCGGCCGGCCTGCACCCTGTCCCTGCGTCCCCCAGCGGTGCACCCGGAGCATCCCATCCCCCGCTCCAACGTGCCGGCCGGAGTGCTGGCCGGCCGGGCACGTCTCGTCTCCAACGTTCCGGCCGGCCCTCCACCCTGTCCCTGCGTCCCCCAGCGGTGCACCCGGAGCATCCCATCCCCCGTTCCAACGTTCCGGCCGGAGGACTGGCCGGCCGGGCACGTCTCGTCTCCAACGTTCCGGCCGGCCTGCACCCTGTCCCTGCGTCCCCCAGCGGTGCACCCGGAGCATCCCATCCGCCGTTCCAACGTGCCGGCCGGAGTGCTGGCCGGCCGGGCACGTCTCGTCCCCAACGTTCCGGCCGGCCTGCACCCTGTCCCTGCGTCCCCCAGCGGTGCACCCGGAGCATCCCATCCCCCGCTCCAACGTGCCGGCCGGAGTGCTGGCCGGCCGGGCACGTCTCGTCTCCAACGTTCCGGCCGGCCTGCACCCTGTCCCTGCGTCCCCCAGCGGTGCACCCGGAGCATCCCATCCCCCGTTCCAACGTTCCGGCCGGAGTGCTGGCCGGCCGGGCACGTCTCGTCCCCAATGTTCCGGCCGGCCTGCACCCTGTCCCTGCGTCCCCCAGCGGTGCACCCGGAGCATCCCATCCCCCGCTCCAACGTGCCGGCCGGAGTGCACCCTGTCCCTGCGTCCCCCAGCGGTGCACCCGGAGCATCCCATCCCCCGTTCCAACGTTCCGGCCGGAGGACTGGCCGGCCGGGCACGTCTCGTCTCCAACGTTCCGGCCGGCCTGCACCCTGTCCCTGCGTCCCCCAGCGGTGCACCCGGAGCATCCCATCCGCCGTTCCAACGTGCCGGCCGGAGTGCTGGCCGGCCGGGCACGTCTCGTCCCCAACGTTCCGGCCGGCCTGCACCCTGTCCCTGCGTCCCCCAGCGGTGCACCCGGAGCATCCCATCCCCCGCTCCAACGTGCCGGCCGGAGTGCTGGCCGGCCGGGCACGTCTCGTCTCCAACGTTCCGGCCGGCCTGCACCCTGTCCCTGCGTCCCCCAGCGGTGCACCCGGAGCATCCCATCCCCCGTTCCAACGTTCCGGCCGGAGTGCTGGCCGGCCGGGCACGTCTCGTCCCCAATGTTCCGGCCGGCCTGCACCCTGTCCCTGCGTCCCCCAGCGGTGCACCCGGAGCATCCCATCCCCCGCTCCAACGTGCCGGCCGGAGTGCACCCTGTCCCTGCGTCCCCCAGCGGTGCACCCGGAGCATCCCATCCCCCGCTCCAACGTGCCGGCCGGAGGACTGGCCGGCCGGGCACGTCTCGTCCCCAACGTTCCGGCCGGCCTTGGACAATACCGGCGTACCCCTAGAATTTCGCCCTGGATCAGGCAAGCCAAAGGAGCGTCGGCCGGTCGGACGATGCGTCAACCCATGGATGGCAGATGATCATATTATCTCCCATCAGTGTTGATAAGTAGTGATCATGCTGCGGGTCAGCCATCCTTCAAGTCCTTATCTGGGCCATGAGGAAGCCACATGCTATACACAAGGTAACCATGAGGCCGCTTTTTTTCAGGGACGTGTTGCTCATATACATCCGGCGTTGTCTGGGGACTTGCGACGTCGCTCGTACGACTCTGCATCGATCCCCACCATGGTCACAGTATCCCAAGTGCACAACCAGTACTGCTCGTATCTGGAGGCATTGTACCTCTACTTCCTCTCGCTGCCGGCATCGCGCCCCGGCGCCGCTCCGCTTCCCGGACTACTCCTCGACGTCTATCTGGTTCGCCAGGCCAGGCGTGCAGCGCAGATGCTGGCCGACGCGTACAGGAATCGCCGTGAGCACTCATCAATCGTTCGCCTACATGCTCATCCACTGATTCACCAGGCAGGGACTGTACAGTGGGATGCGTCAACTCATCCATGCACTGTACCGGACGATGATGAATTGGCCGGAGTGCAATACGAAGACTGCCAGGATCCGCTTACCATTGCTGACAATCAGGGCCGGGTGCTGATGTGGCACCTTCCCGGCGTGATCACGGAGGTCTTCCAGGTACGCCAGAATACATATGTCCACCGCCAACTGTCTATGACCGACTACAAGAGAGCGATATGGCAAGCCACGATCGGTCTCAATCCACTTCTCTCCCACAATCGCCCCAAGGCGAGTGCAAGCTGGAGGGAAAATATCGAGAATTTCCGGGAGCCGCAGGAGGGGGACGACCTTAAGCCGGCGTGTGTCGCGTTTTCGCCGGGGTGGTTCTGGCTCGGACACGCTGTACGTCTCCGGATAGACTTCCCGAATTGTTCGCTCAAAATTATCAGGGCGCCAACGACGTCCCCGTGGTCTCTCGATTGCTCACGGATCCGAACACCGGCCCGGCCGGTCGCATGTGGTTAGACGAGATGGCCCATCCGCATATCATCATATCCGGCATGCTGCGCATCATGCACCCGGATTTGTATGACGCCGGTCGTGCCTCTATTGAAGCTCTGCGAAGCGACCCGGACCGGGCCAGCATTGTAGATTTGTGGCACAACCCGTTCAATGCCCTTTCGGTAATCACGAACCGAGCGAGCCCGGTTCATCGGGACATGCTGTCTCCGAAGGAATGGTACGACATCCTGATGACGATTGGTGGCGATCCCGAGCAGTACATCAAGTTTCCGACTTTGGGTCTCCGACTTCCTTACAAAACCGGAACGGTCACCGCATTCTCGGGCACTCGCCTCCCCCATGATGTTCCACAGGCGTCGGCGGAGCGGATATGTGTGGCATACTTTATGCGACGCAATGTACATCGCTGGGCTGGGATGCCGGACGTGAGTTGGCGGAACACTTGGGAGTGAAGGTACTACGAAAGCGGGATATGTGTTGGGCTGGGGGGGAAATGGGTTTTCTCGTTTGGGCACTCGTAGTGTTTAGGGTTACAGGACCAGTACTCAACCACGAGTCCAAGTTACAAATGTGTGCACTTCACTAGCCCCCGACATACACATCGTTGACCGGCCGAGACTGAGTTTCTTCGGGCCGGGAACACCGCGTATCATCTCGGCGAAATGTGCAAGTCTTCATTGTAAGCAAGCAGTGGGAGGAATACATGAATGGAACTTGGGTGAAACGACACAAATTCTACACTACTCATTCACCAGCCTGAGTGACCCGGAAATGAGACGCCACTGCCGGGGCCCTTGGAGTCATCCCGCGCTGCCAGGCTTCCCACTCTGCCGCATTCGCTCGGGCGGCAGCGTGCCAGAAGTTGAGCTCCGCCTGGATATAGATATCCATTGTCTGCATGGCCCCTCCAAGTTGCTTGAACCACTTGAATAGATCGTTCGACATGCCTCCCGGCATCATTTCCGGGCTGAGGGGCGGGGGGTTCGGGAAGCGGGGGAGATATGCCCGGCTGATTTGCTCGGCGCGAACAGTAACTCCGTCCTACGACACAAATGTGCATAAGCAGAGAACGCAAATGGTGGTTAAATTGTCGTACACGCAACTTCTCTAACTCCAGTTGCTGCTCGAGACGGCGGTATTGTTCTCTCGACGCTCCGAGCTGCTCGGCGATGATCTGATCCATGTTGCGCTGGTTTTCACGCAGCTCCTGCAGAACTGCTTCCGGAGTGTTGCTTTCCGGCAGGGCGGGGACGGTTTGCGGGAGTTGATCTTCCGGTGGCTGGGATTAGCATCGCTGGAAACTTGTGCTTAGACCGAAACACTTTACCGTTGTGCTCGCGGAAGGAGTGTCGCTGGTTCCGGTGGGAGCGGGCGTCGCACTTTGCCCTGGTGCGATGCCGGATACAGCCTCGATCACATTCGTGACAATGGCCAAGTCGTTGCTTCCCCGGGGTGCCACAATCTCACAGTAAGTGGTCATTGCTTCGGTAAGACCATACGTAGCGGCCACCTCTGGCTTCAACAACTCCTGGAGGCCGATCATGAGGGCAGAGACCGACTGCATTGGTCGTATGTTAGCTGCACGACAAGCAAACGATACTGGGGCAGCTTACGATGCCCACGAGAAAATTGTTAAGCGCGCTGGGCATTGCAGGATTCTGCTTTGCCTTGGCGAGATTTTTGAGGGCCTTCGGATCATGATGTGACTTTGGCTGTCCGCGAGGAGTTCGGCGAGCATGGTGTTCATTGTTGTTGAGCAGCTCGGTCCAGACAACGCGGATAGTGTACGATACAGGAGTAGGTGTGGACAACATGCGAGTGCGAAGCGTTATCATCAACTGATCGCCGATGCTGAGCACGTGATTACATTCGGGGAGACATGCCTTCTTGGGTATAGTCTGCTCGGCACGTGTGGCACGTTGCCGACAGGCCATTTCGCAGCCCGCCTTCTGTAATGGTAACTGTGATATTTTACCCCCATCACCTTCCCATCCACACCCAGCTCTTATTTGTGTTGACTTGCCATATGGACATGGTGCGTTCTCATTGGTCCGCACCTATCCCACCGCGCGCATTAACCGGCATTGGCAGTCTTTCCGGCTCGAAGCCTTTCCTTTCCTCAGCTGGGATTGCTTCCATTCGCATTGTCTATCCCGTGAGTGCTTCCCACGGTTCAATGTACATCAAGATTGTGACATTAATATTTAGTTATGCCGAAGTGGTGCCCGAGCGGCCACACACATATTCGATCAGGCGATATCTGTGTGGACAGATCGTCATGTCGGTGACGTACGAGAGCAGCGAAATGTCCCTTGACATTTCCGGGATTGATGCCAGGCTGGAAAGGATTATGTTGCTGTTTGATGTGGTGGAGGCGCGGGATGGAATGTTAATGGATTGAGCCCTTGGTTCCAAATGCTTACACATGTATTCCTGCTGTCGTGCTTTCAATTTCTCCAAATGAGCCAGGATGATCACCGAACTCCATTACTTGGCATGCGATAGTGCAGGATGCCATCACGGGCAAAAGTACATTTCATGTCCTCGTATGAATTACCAGAGCACCGACAGTCCCTCTAAGATACAACTTTGCTCTGCCATGGCCACGCGGTCACTATGTATACAGGCATACGACATTCCGGCCAACACCTCGTTCACCTAACCCGGGCCGAGTATTTGCCTGGTCGCTCGGCCCGAGCCTGTGAAAGAGTGCTCGGACCGAGGGTTTGGGAAGTGCTCGGGCCGAGAGTTGGGCACACAACTCAGGCCTTGAGTTCTCAACATTGCTCGGGCTAAGAGCATGCCTGATACCTCGCGCCGAGAGTTTGGGCTGGTGCGCGGGCCGAGTGTTTGGTCATATTCTCGGGCCGGGATTCTCGACTGGTGCGCGGGCCGAGTATTTGGTCATATTCTCGGGCCGGGAGTGCGGACTGGTCCGCGGGCCGAGTGTTTGGTCACACTCTCGGGCCGGGACTTCGGGCAAGCATTCGGACTCGGAGCTGGGACCATGGGGCCTGACAGCTCGTCACAACCCTCGGAATATGTAAAATGTGTAGCCGGGTAGGTCGTACGATTACAAACTAAATTTCTATACTACCACTACATCACGACATTTGGCTCCAGGTACAGATCCCGCCATGCCACCTTCGCATCTTCACGCAGGCGATCAAACAGTGCGCCTTGTGCTCGGCAGTGCTGGGAAAATCCTGGGTACTCGGTATCGGAGTTGGTGGTCGCTAGTTCCCGCCACCGGCATGCTTCATGATCAAAGTATCGGCACACGGAGTCAAGCTCCCTGCGCAATATGGCGGCTTCTTCCTCCAATCTGTCAACCTTTGAACGGGCATGGAACCACTGTACCCTGTGAACTATGCGCGATGTCAGCGAGTTATTCAATGTCGCACCGCCGTCTCACGTACTGATTCCCAACTCGTCATTGCTCCGTATGTCGCCACCGACGTTAACATTCCATATCCACGAGGGGGATTTGTGCCGCTGGCCGGCCTTGTTGGGCTCGGCAATTGCGGTTACTGTCTTTAGATCATCTGGGGTGAGCTGCTGATATTTAGCTTGATCCTCTGCAGACAGGCCGAGCACTTGCATGGCCGCTCGGGCCCGGCGATAGATTGCGGCTTGAAGCTGTACAGCTCGGTCGAGTTTACCCAACTTGGTGAAGGATCGGGTGCGCTTCTTGTTGCCATCTTTCCTCCCGTGCCGAATGGTTGTCTGGAACTCAAACGACTTCTTGCCGATGAGAATCCGAAGCTGCTGCAAGGCATCATTTGCTTGTCCGCGCCGCAGAGTGAGCTCGTGCGCGGCCAACCGTTGCAATCCATTGGCGGTTAGAGTATTCCGCGTGAAATTCGAAGGTAGCCCGAGTTTCGTATGTTCCGCCGCCTTCACTGGGTATGGTGCGGGCGGTTTACTGGGAAAGATGGACCATGGATTGTTGGCATGTGCTGGGGGATCGTTGGGATCGTCTTCCCACTCCGCAGCCGAGTCGTCATCCACTGCTTCCTCCTCTGCCACGCCCCAGTCATGCCTTCGGTGAATTGCAGCCGCTCGCCGGTGGAACCTCCGGATCTGACTCTCGAGAGGCTTCCTGCGTTTGGCCAGCTTTAACTCTTGAGCCCCCGTCACAGTGGCCCCCATTTGCTTTATGTCTTTCTGGATTGCGAGTCTGCGGGGTGTCAGAAGTAACCCGGAAAAGGCGGTCGAAGCACTGACTGTTGCTCTTCAAGCTTCAGGCCGTCGGCAATCCAGTCCGCTGTGCCAACGCGGTCCCCGCCGTTACCCTCTTCTTCTGCCAGCTTAATCTGAAGTTCGAGCCGCGAAGGCACTGTCACCAAATCAGCCTTGAGCTCGGCATGGAGAGCAGAGTGTACTAACTAATTTGTTTCTTCGCTTGATACCTGTCCATTACCTTCACGTCCCGCAGCCTTCGTCGTTGTACTATCCTGAGTTCCCTCCTCCACTCTCCCAAAATCTCGGCATCGACACTGGCCTCCTTTGCGGTGAGGTCGGCCTTCATGTCGGCCAGCAGTGGCCGATTGGCTTTGATTTTCCTTCTCAGCGAAGCCACTGTCCTCCGTCAGCCCAATGTGTGATGCCACAATCAGCTAGACCATACCCATGGTGATCATCTTCTTCCAATTCCAATTGTTCATGTGCCGGTCGAGGGTTTCCTGCCGGTGGGATGTTGACATTGAGCGGGTACTACCCGACACGGGATTGATCCCCGACCATTGGGTTTCGATGATCTCGCCGTCCGCTTCCCCGGCCCCCTCGGTGAAGGTGAGAGAGTGCCGGAGCTCGCACTCCGCCTTGTGACCGTGAATGTGAAAGAGGCCAATGCACTTGTATAGGACGAGGCCCCCCGGCATTTGAAGATAAGGATTGCCGTCAAATCGGTCATGGAGATGGACGTGGTACTGGCACATGATGTCGTATGATACATAGACGTGCCCAATACCTCTCGAGCGGTAGCCGAGAGCATTGGACAGGGAGTAGTCCATGTTCATCCATCAGGAAAAATCTGGATGTCTTTCTGTTCTTGTATAAGTACCAGATCCAAATAAGCCACAAAAGGTGCCTGAGACAAGTCCAAATCTTAAACAGTCTTATTGAGACGTGAAAGGCACATTTAGTCTTTGTCACTTCCACAAGACCCTTGTGCCACCTCTAATTGAGCTCCTCTCGTACTCTAAATTAAGACACAATGTTGGCAAAGAACGTTCCTCCTTTATTTACTTTGGTGCTTATTTGTGCTCTGCTGTGCACTGCGTTCACTCAGAATATTTGCGTACAAAATGATAGATAATGTGGGTATTCCATGGTAGTACTGTTACAACAAAGACAACAACATTCAATGGCAGTAGCATTACAACAAAGCAATCATATCAGCAATGACCACGAGAACCACGAGAACATAGCGAAAAGCAAGAAGGAACTACAAGCACAACGTACACCTCGTAAACCGTACAACAACTCGAGCTCGCCACTCGAGTGCCTTCGTTACGTCGTTCCAGGGTAGATGAGGTGATGGTACTACGAATTAATGTTTGTTCCCCTGTGCAGAACATTACCAATAACCACACGTTACTAGTACCAGTAAATACACTTACCTTGGATGACGACTAGTAGTGGAGCTGTTCAGGCGTTCGCCGCTGCAAAGACTTTTATCAAAACATAAACCTGCTCCAGCAATCGAAGCTTACCGTCGCCTTCACCCTCGTTGACGAGCTCCTGCCCTTCGTCATGCTGCTCGATGATCTCATGCGTATGCGTAACCCCTTCGCCCTCAGGCTCGTCGCGATCCTCCTTGTCCAGCTCGTCGACTTCTTGATCAGCGCCACGCTTCGGCGACTTCGCACTAGAGGTTTTGGCCGACGATTTGGCCGACGATGAAGTTGGCTTGCCGGATCCTGAAGGTGGTTTGACTGGTGCACCAGACCTCCTCGGACTCGACGACGTGCTTGCCACCTGCGCCATGCTCGCGGGTTTCAACGCCTGACTCGTGCTGATGGACGTCGCCCTCTTCCTCTCTTGGACAGGAGACCCCTTGCCGACTTTCGAACGCAGGCGATCTATCTTGAGGAAGCTACCGTTCCCATTGTCGGATTCTTCTTCGTCCACCGTGTTCGCTTTCATGCGACCTCTGCCGACGTCATTGTGAGGTGAGCGAGCAATTGTGTACAACCTGTCTACACCACTTACGAGATTTGTGCCCAAATGATGGCCTTCGTCTCTCGATAGTGCTCAGGCGCCTCAGCCTTGAGCGTCGCCAGGATGGCCATCAGGCCATCCCACCTACTACTAGTTAGCAGTGCGCCATCCTCGAATCAATAGATCACTTACTTAGCCGCGAACTGCTTGTTCGCGAAGAAGTTAGCCTGTCCACGAATGACGACCTCCGTCAGTGCAGACTCAATCTGTTGCAGGTATTAAGAAAGCTGTACGATCACAGAAACTATACTCACAGCATTGCACACCACAGCTATCAGATTGTCCGGCACCTTGCGAAAATCGTCCATCGCTGCATGTATGTTGGCGTCGGCGCGCGCACCCAAAGCCCACTGTTGGTAGATGAGCTCTGCAATTGCCTCGTGGCGGAAAGGCTCGTCCTGGTTGAATGTAGTCGCCTTGCTCGTGTTAGATTTTTGAATGCATATTAGCAATTAGCTATCTCACTCACCTTCAAGTCTAAACGCTTTCGCTGGTCGAAGACGATGTCGATGTCACTGAAGACGAAGTTCGGGATATGGCGTGAACCCCCCTCGACAACGTCCGTTGCGTGCGTTCGGAGCAGCCATGCGGCTACTGCGCTTCTTTGCTCGGCAGACAGGCCTTGCAGGCCATACATCTGGTCAACGGCAACCTTGGCTTTTCTCTTGAGCTCATTGCGGAACTGGGATGCACTCGCCCAGACCTGAAACTGATCAGTGTACCAACCACCCAGCACGAACAATTTACTTACCACGGTGTAGACGTTCTGCTGCAGCTCAAGACGCTCTTGCTCAGCCTTCTCCTCCTCCTCGCGCTCTTTCTCAGTCTTCTCTCTCTCAGGCTTCTCGTCCTTGCTCTTTGACTTCGGACTGATCAACTGGAACGCCCTCTTCAGCGCCTTAATGCGTTTGCCATCCTTGTCGCGCATATCGCGCGCATCCTCCACGCTGTAACGAATCAGAGCGTCTCGCTTCAGTAGGCGTCCGCTGACCACTGATGATTCCGACGTCCATGCGGTCTTGAGCGAGATTCGCAGGCGCAGGCAGTTCTGCGCTGCGGTGACGAGGGCTCTGACGTCGATGGGAAGGTCGGTCACCTTGGCTCGCTCCCTGCGCCCTCGACCTTTGGAGCGCTTCTGCTTACTCTTGCCCATTTGCTCAGGCAAGACCTGTATGTTGAGCTACGAATTGAAACCCAGTAGTTCGCGACTCACCACTACACCGTCGTCATCATCTTCCTCCTCGAGCTCGTCGTCATCTTCCTCATCTTCATCGCTGCCTTTGCCTCCTTTCGGCTCGTACTCCTCGTCCTCGTCACTATCATGGTCGTCACTCTTGTGGGCGTCGCTGTCGTCGCTGCTACTCGCACTAGTATGTCTCCCAGTCTTCTTCTCCTTGCCCTTGTTGTTCGCCTTCACTGCTGAACTGAGGGCTGAAGACTGAACAAGCATTAGCACGTAGCAAGGCCATTTTAACTCAGAATACCTTCGCTGGCACCGGCACGTCAATGTACACTTTGCGCCTCATCACCGACGGCGATGGTGGGTCGCCCGACGATATCGTCTTCTTGGAAGATGGAGACGCAGCCAGCTTCTTCGGCTTCGTAGCGATCTGTTGATCCTGGTAGCCAGAGTCGTCCCTTGAATCATCACTGAGGTGCGCAGCCTTGCTTTTACCCTTTGTAGATGCCGTCGCACCTGTAGTATCATTTGCTTCAATTGCAATTAAATGAACGTGAGGCTGCTCGACGTACCGAGCGACTTCGCAACAATTGCCTCGTCCTTGTCCAGGTAGGCTGATTTCCTCGCTGTCTGTTGAGCTCCCCTGTAAGCTGGCTTCGGCTTGGCTAAGGTGCGGAGAGTTTAATGATCTTTATCGCTACAAAAATGAGAAGACGTACGTCGAGCCCGAACTTCCTTCTCCTCGGTGCCCTCCGATATGCCCATCCCGTGGTTCTCCTGACTTTCCTTGTGCTCGTCACTGCGAACCTCCTCATCAACCGCCGCGTCTTCGTCTTCGTCTGCGCTGTCCTTCATCTCCGCCTCTGCACCTGAGCTATTCGCCTGATCAGAGTCTCCGCTGGCTTTCTTCTTCTTCTTCTTGCGCTTGGGCTGCTCTTCTTCCGAAGAACCTTCCTCGTCCCTGATCATGGTGGCCACTCTCTTGCGGACGCCTACGATCGTGGACTGCTCGTGAGTCTAGGCTATTGTTGCATACCTACTCTGTACTCACCCTTCACATGCGACTCCTTGTCAGCTTTCTTCGCATCCTTGGCTTTCTTGAGAAGTTTCGCTAGGGCCTGAGCGTCGGACGCGGATAGACCACTGGTATCGACATCCGGAACGTCGCTGTCAGGCGACGCCTTGTTGGCAGTTTGCTTAGCTTTCGCGCGCCCCTTCTGACCGGCGCCTCGTGCAGCTTGCGGTGTTTGGCTAGAGGCTGAGGCTTGCTTTCGAGCACCGGAACGAGTGCGGGACGCCATCACGAGAACTGCGAGACTACTGACAGTGGTAGCAAGATGAGGGCGGACAGTGCCCGGCGGGAGCTTTCGCTGATTCCGAAGGCCGCCGCGCTCGCGGAGTTCGCGTTTTATCGATCAACTTGAAGAGTCTTAACTTACACGCCAGCTCTACAGTGTATGAACTTTGTTGTACCGTTCTTCTGCAGTAGAACGAATGTCATTATTCATACACTAATTAAATGAATCATTGTGAGCCCAGCCATTACGATCATTGTAGCACCATTTCGAAATTTCCTTGTCTGTATGTAAGACGATAGACGCACGGCGTCCCTCATAATGCAAGTTGAAGTGAGTAATACGACACGAAGGGAAAACGACAAAGTCACCGCAGGTCAGAGGGATGACAATGCCTGGTTCATCCAGACATAGCTCTCCTCCAACAAAATCTCCCACCGCCAGCACTAGACACATGTCGTAGTCTTTGTTGTCTCGGTGAGCTTGTGTGACAACGTTCAAATTGATCACAAGACCCAGGAAGGGAGCCGAGAGCGGCATGGTGTTGCCTGGTAATATCTCCACGAACTCCTCTAGTCTGGTGTAGAAGTTTGGGAACATCGTAGCTAGCTAATCCAATGTAGTCAGCTTAAGCGGTGTATCATAAAACGAATTAGATCACCTTGTTGTCGAGCCACTCGAAGACGTCACCGAGCACGTTTCGCAGTGAGCGATAGATGTCTTCGTGCGCAGCCATATCCTTGGACATGTAAGGCAACATTTGACCGTAGTTTATTTTGAGACCGTTGGGTCGTGTTAGCATTGCTGGAGGCACATTGCTAGGGGCCGTGTTGCCCTACATGAATTGTAATGGCGGTACATGACAATTGCAGGAATACATACCTGTGTGCAGTGGCGGTTATACCACGAGAAGTGCAGCACTTCAAACGTTTGATCACCACCAGACGATGCAGTCTGCATCGTCTTCAACGGATCGAAGGGAAAGCAGGAGGTGAGGTGATCTGCCAGGCACTCGCGCATGTGGGTCGGCATCGAAGTACAGATGCCGACGATAGTATCTGCGTTAGTATCTTGAATAATAAGAACGTCCCTCCAAAGAACTTAGAACGAAGCCGATGAACATAGATTAGGGAAACACTCACTCGCACATGAGTTGCGATATCTTCGTGTGGAGAAGGTGCGCGGGCGCGAAGGAGAGCGCACAGGCGGCCGAGACCGTAGGGCGGAGTACGTGCCTACCCGCCGGTGCCCCGAGCTTGACCCGGAACCGTACCTGCCCCGGTTACTGACCCACCGGTACGGTTTGTTTTGTTTGTGCACGGCTCCGTGCGGGGCCGGTTCGCGGGTCCACAGGGTGGTGGGCGTAGCTGGCCGAGGAGACAAGAACGCGCGCAAGAGTGCACATGCGAGAGGATGCGCAGATCCTGGGATGGTGCGCAAGCGAGACGGTGAGCTAGGGGGGCTACAGGCGGGACAGCAAGACGACAGCTTACTGTCGATGTTCTCGAGGTAGAAGCCGCCCGGCCAGATGTTGTCGAGCAAGCCCTCCCGGAAGTACACCCTGCATGGTGGTTCGACTCTGGAGCTACAAGGTCGGTCGGCCGTTAGTAACCCACTCGCATGATGAGGTCCAATTTCTCGCATATCGTGTCACCTTCACGTGGATCGTGAAAAGGCTGCTCGCGAGACCACTGGCGGACACGAAAAAGCTGACGCGCTTGCTCAGCGGGCTCGACGCTCGCGAGGAGCGACACACCACCGTGCCCAGCGCATGCCGAACTCAACCGCGCGTTTCCGTTCAGGCGGTATGTAGTGCATGCAGCGTCGATGGCGAGCGAGCGAGACGGCTGGCGAGAGGGACAGCGAGATGGCGAGCGGCGCGAGAAGTCGGGCGTGAGCATGAGAGATCGGGCACGAGATGGCGCGAATGTGGGCACGAGAGGGCAAGCAGGCGGGCGCGAGAGGACAAACAAGCAGGTGCGATAGGATAAGCAGGTGGGCGTGAGAGGGCGGGCAAGCGGGCGGGCGAGAGGGCGTGTGGGCGAGAGGGCATGTGGGCGAGAGGGCGTGCAAGCAGAGTGCACTGACGAACGCGCGGGCATTTGAGCGGACGCGGGCAAGGCACCACCTCCTGGACCGTGGTGACTAGTACCAAGAATTGTCCGTAGGTACGCAGAAGAATACTCACCTTTGCTTTTCGTCCGTCTGCCTTCCTTTTGTTCACCACTCCGACCCCTTGTCCTGCTGTGTTTGCCTTAGTTGCCTGCGTTTGTTGCGCTAGGGCTTGTCGGGCGAGAACGTGCGCGTGAGTAGGCGCGAAGGGTGAAGGCGAGCGGACAGGCGGGCGAGAGCGGACAGGCGGGCGAGAGCGGACAGGCGGGCGAGAGCGGACAGGCGGGCGAGAGCGGACAGGCGGGCGAGAAGGTGCGCGTGGATGCGCGTGGAGAAGGTGCGCGTGGAGAAGGTGCGCGTGAGCGGGCGCGAAGGCGAGGACAGTCAATTGTAACATGTCTAATAGCTGACATGCTTACAAGTACTAGCGAGATCTCATTAGAACGCCGTCTACTGATTGGCAAGTCCCGTAAGTACCAAGTACCGTAAGTATCATTAGCTACCATAGTGTCTGGTATGCGTAAGAACTGGCCCAATTATTGAGTAAAAACTTGGAGGCTTCATCTAGTATAGTATGAGTATTCCATTGCACAGGTAATCTCTCTTCCGCATCACCTACTGAACCCGGGAATCTGGGTATCAACTGACAAGATTGACGTATAGTATGGAGGGGGATAATATCGGCGACTGGATTACCGTCCGAGCGAAGAGGACATTTGTTAACCGAGTACATCATGTGGGTGGGGTCGGCGGAATGTGGGAGCTTTGCGTACCACTCTATGTATGCAAGTGGTCCTTGTTCTGCCCATGCTTCAGGAGCCATCAGGGGAAGGCGAGTGCGAGGGTCCTTGATGCGCTCAGGAAGCCTGAAAATGACTTTGACGCGTCCGATTCTAGTGCCTATCAGTGAGCGTGCATATCAGCATCAGAATTATGTAGAGCAGCAACGTTCAGAGATATTACCTTGCAATCCTGTGGCTTCAGCGTCCCCATCTTGCAACACGACAACAGTGTCGAAACGACCTGGTTGTTCTCCGATTGGAGGACGCGCCTTGACGGCGTCAGTCTCGTTCTTGTCGTCAGTCAACGATTCCGGCGCAAACTTGATGCCATGGAACACGTCAACGCGATCGAAGGGCATGCGAGAGACGGCGGTATGGAGCTCGGTGGGAGTGAGACGACGGTTGTTCTTGAGCATATAGATATATCGTGCTAGGGTGTTCGCGAAGCCCGGTGCCTTGTGTCTGTCTTCAATACGGTCTAGTGACTGCATTCGAACTGTAGGATGCTTCGGTAGTTTGATGCTAGTCTTGCCTGGGGGTGCGACGGCTGGGTCGGTATCGGAATAGTCTTCTTCATCATCATCTTCATCGACATCCCTCTGCAATCGTCTCCGCATTGTCGAGCTGAAAACGACCATTTTCTCCTGGCGTGCAAGCCACTTGACCATTTGCGGGCGTGCGTTCCGGTGATTAGATGCACGCCAGCCGTTCTTCGCGTAGTCGATATGGAGGCGTTCGAACGCCTCGGTATTGTAGTTATCCGTCGTTCCTAGCATGCGAATTGAGTCGACATAATGTAGAAGTGAGTGGAATTTAGGAATATTGAGATGTTCTCGTACACCGCAATTTACGAGAACCTCCTTGTTTTTGTGGAAAGCCTTGAGCGCATCCTCCATGTATCCTAGGGTTGCATCGTCATGCGTCGAGTACTGTGCCAAGTAGATGAAGTCGAGGATGGCACGAAAAGCAAGTACAGCGTTCTTGGGGATCTTGCCGACCAAGCATCCAAGTAGAATACGCGCCATGTACTTGCGCTCGGTGCCGGAGACCTGAGCTAGAGCAGAGATACCGTTCTTGAAATGGCGCGTTCCGAACGCAGGTGGCAGGCAACGGATACGACGGTCGAGCTCCTGCTCGTCGACTAGTTCGGAGCACCACTGTACTATATGCTTGAATACCCCTTGATATAACTGGTGTAGGACATCCGGTGTGATACACGCGTGGATATCGGTGTAAGGCAGGTCGCGCCAGAAGGGACGTACTATATATCCACAGACGTTCAGTTCATTACACGCCTTCGCATACGCAGCCGAATCCTTCTTGCCGCCGCTTTTCTCGGTTGCGCGTCGCAGTACATCGAGGGTCCATAGGGACGTTCGCGCTGTTCCGGGAGTGGGCGACTCGAGGTTGTCCTCTGGGAGTTGACATCTGGGACACGTCCCGTACTTCGAGCACGTCACCAAACATTGTTCCGGATAATCAGCGACGTATGCGGCTAGAATCGGGTGCACCCTGCGCACTGCACCGTCTCCTCCTGTCACCTCGATCCCAGTTTTTCCGGCTTCGACAAGTGGTTCCAAAATGACGCGGACGGACGTATGAAATAGCTGCTGAGCGAGCGCGCGTTGCTTGCGCTTGGTGATCCCGTTCGAATCGACTTTGTCCACGGAGAGGTACCCAATGAGGATACACGCGTGTTCGGACGGTTTGCGTCTCAGAGCGCGAGGCAGGTTGCCGAGTGTCATGTAGACAGGGTAGGCCGATTTTCCACCAGAAAACTGTGTGAGTTGTGTCTTATCCGTCGCGATGATGACCGGTGCGACGGCAGAGCCATCAGGCAAGAGGCTCTGAGGTCAAGGTAAATATTGGCTCACTCACTAAAGTACAGTAAAAAGAAAACTCACCTGCACGGCATGCCACCACCGTCCAGTCCACATCTCGTGGTAGATGCGACTAGTTCGGGATGAGTCGCTGAATATACGACGTGGTCGATAGACTATCTGATCGGCATGGGCAGGATTGCCCAATAAGGTCCGTATCGCCTCGATTATGTCGCGGAACTGTACCAAGTGCCTCTCGTCAGGTCGATCCTTGAAGCTCAGCCACCTCTCTTTCCACTCGGCCCTCTCCGGAAGTGAGTCTACTCGTTGAAGCAGCACACGTGAATTGTGATAGGATAGACCCAGCCTTTCCTGAAACTAAGAAACCGTAGCCACATAAGTATTTGTGAGTACTATATGTCAAGACAGTGCAAGCAAAAGACGACGACCTACCCCAGGTATTTCCAAGACTCTGTCTACAGAGGATTGACTGAGGCCCTCCTGAACCGCCCAAGACGCGAACCTCCAGTCCATCTCGGACTGGAACGGCGCCCAAGGGTTTGCGGTTTCTGCCTCATCTTCGGTCTGTTCTTGGTCTTTGTCTGGAGTCTCTCAGTAACAGGACTGGATGTACTGTATAGCGTACTCACCTGGTGGTTGCGCCTCCCTCTCCCTCTCCCTCTCCCTCTGATCCAGCCAGCTCCTCCGTATGTCTTCATTCGTTCGGATCACCGTTGCCGCGTTCATATCGATATCTTCCACTCTTCTGTCCTCATTGTCGTCCAAAGCGAGGGCGTTTCGCCTGGAGGCCCTCGAAGACGGTCCGGCAACGCTAGAGGCGCCTTGCTGTCTTGGTGCCGAGACCTCAATGAAGTCGAATGTGGATCCTATGTCTGATTGATCCTCTGGGTCTTCATCTGAAGACACGGATGAATTGATGGGGGTGCTATGAGGGTTACCAGAGTAATCCTGCTGCCCAGCGAATAATCCGCTTCCGCCTTCGCCCCTGTCGTCGTCGTCGTCGTCGTCGACACCGTCACCGTCTCTACATAAATTTGAATATCGAATGTCACTGTTAAGGATTCACAGCACTCACCGTCCCACAACCTCAAGGCGTTCATCATCACTGGAAGAATCGAAATCGTCAAAGTCGAATATTTCTCTTAATTTTCCCTTCTTGTACCAGGCGCATCTCTTGCTCATGGTCTGGTGCGCCGAGAGACCTTGCATAGTGTCGAAGCCTTCATTGCACGCCGCGCACGTTGTTGAGAGCACATCTTCCAGTGAGCGCCGTCTTTTTCCCATAGCCTACCTCCAAATTAGCACAGCAGTCGAAAAGTCAGAGGACGGACTGGCTCACCAGATCGTAGGCCTAGCGGAGAAGGCAAAAAAGGCCTCTCAAGACGTGTGCGCGCCTCTCGGGTACGCCTATTCGCCCCAGAGGTTCCTTACTCAATTGGCCTTCCGTTACATAACAGTCTTGACAGGCATATCCGCGGGAAAGTGTGCGTTCCCACACTGCGGCGGTTATTCTCGTTCTCTCCTCCCATCTCCTACCTTTCCTGTCTCTGTCTCTGTGCACGAACTTACTAGGTTGTGTTCTCCGGTCAGTCTCACCTGGGTTGTCGCTCTCCGTCAAACCAACCGTAACCAGCCGTTCGCGCACCGTCGATCGTCGATCGTTGATCGACAACTGCTATACTATTGGCAAAAAGTGAGTCCTAATACCTACCTCTACGACTCGCGGTCTGTAGGTTCGCGATCTACGGTACTCGCGCTTCGCGTACCTTTGCGCTAGCGCAGTGGCGTGGGAGAATGCAGCTCCATGCACTGTTGCCACGTGCCGCCAGGGACCGTTGACAGTGACAGGCCGCCGGATTGCGGTGGGAAGGTTAAGGAGCCTCCGGATCCGCTGCTCAGGTCCTAGTCACCCTTCAAGAAGAGTTCTATCGCTGTGTCTCCCTTCGGCCCACACCATGGCTTCTCTCCGTCATCCCGCTCGGGTGTCGCAGCCCTACCGACTGTCTTTCTACAATACTCCTGGACTTACTGACGGAGCCAAGTCGATCGACTTGGACTACAGGGATAGCCACAACCTCACACCTCTGGGCCGCGACGATAGCTTAGAAGGGATTGTCGTAGCGGTTGACGATATAGAATCAGATAACGGGCAACTACTACACGGTGAGTAACTGTCTGGTTTACATATCGCCTGCGTTCCCGACTCTTGCACAGAGTACTCGGACTCAGAAGCACGTTCGAGCTCCTCCAACGCGGACACCGCCAACGCCACCAATACAGACCAAAGCGACGCGTACGATACCGACAACGAACACCCAGAGACTGTACTTCAAAAGGTCTTCTCCGATCTACTCCTGGACCCGGACTGGCCGTACATTCTGGACGTTCAGAGAGTGAGTGGCTATTACATTAGCGCATGCCTTGCATGTCTGATTACGCGGCAGACTATCGAGCTGGAACCGAGCGACTGGGATCAGCTTGTTGAAGACGTGCTCCACCGGGACGACGACCTCTACCGCCTCTTCTCGTGAGTCCCTGGCGCAGGTAGTACATGTTTGGGCTTAACCGATTCTCCCTCGCCATAGCTTCCAATACGACTGCGATCGCCGTGTTCTCATCATGTCTACCCCTACCCTCCTTCACGAGAAGGTGTCCAACTTCATGGCCTCTATCGTTACTACGCGCTACGGCGAATCTTACGTCCTGAAAGTGCCTGGGTTGCAGGGCGTCCTATCTGCCGAGACGAAGAGGGAGTTCGTCGGCCCTCTTCCTGCTCCTAACGACCCTTCCAGCCATGTGCGAAGGCAGATCGGGCCTGCGCTGTTAGTCCCTGACGGCGCTGTAATTCTGAGCTTCCCGGACCTTTTGCGCTGCAAGAACAACATTCTGCGGAGCAAGTACGGTGAACACGTAGTCGGAATATTTGAGAAGGGTTTCTACGAGCCTTGGGAGCATGTTCTGTATCGGGTACGTAGCGGTTTAGCTGCAGTTCGAATGTCTCTAAACATGTCTATAGTTCGGCCAGTACAGTGGTCCCAGGACGTTGAACCAAGACCCTAAGGACTTGCCCGTGTTCATGATGACGATCAAGATCATCGAGCATCCGAAGTACCACTCTCCATTCCCCTCGAACAAGCCTACGCCTCCACAAAAGAAAGCGTTGCGGGATCGCTGGTCGCCGATTGAGGACGACACGCTGTGCATGCACGACCCTGGCGATCCGAAGGAGAGGCTGACTGGCAAAGTTACCATCGGCGAGCACACGTTCTGCGGGGAGCTCGAGGCGTACCTGGTGCTGATATCGTTCGCCAACCAGCACCGAGCGGCGTTGAAGCGGAGCTACCAGGCTCAATGGACGTTGTCGTGATGGGTGGAGGAGGGCTTTGGGATTGTGAGTTGAGCAGCGCGAACTCTGGTTGACTCTGAACTCACAGCATACCAATTTTCTAGAAGTTACAAAAGAAGTACGAAGGCGCTGAAGAACAACAACTCAAGGAGTTCACGAGCCTCTGGCAGACGGTCTTCTCGATGTACCAGTCTCGCCTCTGGGAGAAGGGAGGTAATGCTTGGCAGGCCTACGACAAGGCCCAGAAGGATGCCGGCGTCGACGTGTACAAGCAGGAGGGCGTCGCCGTAGCGTGGAACGATTTCATGCGCAGGGCTCCGTTCAGAAATCCGGGAGCACAGAAAGCGAACGTGGGCGAAGTGCCGGTGGACGAGTTCATCAAGTTCATTGAAGCCGGTGCGGTGTCTACGGCGAAGCAGCGTTTCGAGACCTTCAAGAGGGAATGCTGCGGGTACTCGCCGGATCCGCCTGCTGCCGAGATAGACGAGAGCGTGGACTTGCTGGACGAGAGCGATGCGCACGACCAGTACTTGAAGCGAAAGCTGGAGCAGTGGGAGGAACTGCACGAAGAGCGCGAGCGCGAGTTGAAGCGTCATCGTGATGTCTCAAACGAACCGGAGTCTGAGTGAGTGTTCTTTCCGTCGAAGAAGGTTGAGGTGTACTATCTGTGCGGACTTGGACATCGCGCGTCGTGTGTCGTACGTTCGGGCAATTCACTCTACGCTCCGTACAACGTCACCTAGGCACCTCATCCTCCACCTTCACATTGTCCCTGGTAGTCTTGCTGTGGTATAGCTGTCCGTACTTCTCTCCAAACTCGCTCGCCGTATCGCTTATCGCTCGTCGCTCGCCGTACCGCACATCCTGTTATATCGCTCGTCAGTCGGCTCGTCATGTAGTACTGTGATGTCTGTTGTACGCTTGTAACATTACGCACTATCGGAATACACACTATGTCACATTGTCAATGGGTTATTGGACTCCAAGGCGCGTAGCTGCACCAGAAGATGAATGCATTGCTTGTGGCTATTTGCCCTCGACCTTGCCAGGATCCTCGTTAGTACGTCCCACTGACTCAATCTCAACTCCTTCATTGCAACGCAAGATGCAGCTCACTGAGACCGAGGCCGAAGAAGTTCTGGAACTCCTTGTCGGAGCTCCGAGACTTAGTGTTACTCTGTTGGCCTTACGCGATCGTTTACGAGGTGTGTACGATCAACTCGGGTCTCCAAGATCGGAAGACCGTCCGAATGAAGACAATGCAGCATCTGCACTTGCAGAAAGTGTTGCACATACTGCGACAGAAAGGCAAATAGTCGCGGCAGAAAGGCAAATAGTCGCAGATGTCGACGTCACTGAGGGTGAGTGGCCTATCTCAATTTCTTGACATGCTCATATTCTCTTCAGAGGTGCACGTCTCCTTGTCTTCAACTGGTGATCAAGATCATGAAGCCATGTCAGATAATCCCATAGGTGTGTTGTGATTAGACTACGATGCTCTTGTCTGATATGCTGCTTTCTTAGAGAGCTTGGGACCGAGACGCCGTGAGCAGCGACGTGCCTCCAAGCACACACCTTACCCTCGTCCGGACCGGCGAGGACGTGGAACCGTGTCCAATGATAGGTCGGTAGCGGCGTATATGCTACCACCGTGCCCCAGAGGCGGCATAGATTTCATCTGTGCTGAGCCAAGGTCAGAGTGGGAGACCAGGGCTGAACCACGACTCCAAGGAGCTAGACCGGCAACTACAAACTTCATAGCCAACCTCACCACCTGTCTTAACAGGGATCAGGTGTTGGCGACTTCTCACTCAGTCGTCTCGCTAGGTAATGTCGAGGGTGCTATGTCCGCCTCGGAACGATGTCTTCCAACGTCTGGAACTCTGGTCGGTTTAGTGCAACGCTGCGCTGCTCTCGAACGCAAAGGGGCAGCACACGACTTCAGCTGCATGATACTGCTTATACAACTAGTGTATAAATTCATACGGTGAGATATATATATTACTGTCGACTAATTGCTTTCTGACAAGGAACGTCTAGTATTTCTAAGCCGAGCGCTGTCAATGTTGCAAAGATTTGGAGGGACCACATATCGCACCTAGAGAATGCACCCTCCAAACGCGCACTGCAATCGTGGTATACCTTGGGTACAAGGTTTGCGAAGATAGCTGAAGGAGGTAAGAACGCTCGCCCTGAATGTATACAACGTCTCACATATTCCGCAGGAACTGTCTATGCTCTCCTCGTGATTGCCTTCAAGGGGCTTCGTGTTCGACTAGCTGAAGCCGAAGGTACGATCAGTGAAGAGATTGCCAACATTATGCGAAGACCGAATCCGAGTGAGCACGTGTTTTGTTTTCCTGGACATAGCAGTACTTAACATATGAAACAGATACACCGGCAGGACGAGCTGTTCGAGATACGCTCATACCTGTGGTGTCTCTGCTGAGGGCCAATTGTCCGTTACGCCTATTGGACTTGTTTGGTCTGGACAACGTTGCATCGCAAGGACTCTCAACACAATCGCTTTGCGGAGATCTTGACAGCTCTGACACGTTCTTCAAAGTTGTCTCATCCAAGTACGTAGGGTTGGTGCCTGTCAAACAATGTGCGCTGAGCAGTCAAGTATTTAGCTCCTTCGCCCTCCTTTCTCGTGACACCATTTGCTGGTCCTCGTGTACCGTGGAGATCCCTCCTGAATCCCGGTGTCCAAGTGAACCCAGTGCTCCTGTCTCTCAAGAAGCTTGTCAGGTCTGCGATCCAAGAGAGTTATCGCCCTTGACGCCACTCTCGCCACTCTCGCCACTCTCGCCACTCTCGCCACTTCGCGAACTAGACACCTGCGAAACGGATCCTACGTCTAGTAATCTGCCAATTTCCGCGGCCCATTGTTTTGCAGTGATCACAACGTCATACGACATCCGGCATGAGCGAAACCAACGTTTCTCTGCATCAAGAGACCGGCAAGAAAACGCCCTCTGGACCGAGAAGAGACGCGTCTTGGCTGCCAGAGCGACAGTTCCAACAAGCTGTCAAGCACTTGAGCTACAGGTTAAGGTCTTATGAATTTACGGATGCAGATGTAAGCTGACGTACCTCATCGATCTAGCTGCACACAATGTATTCCGACGGCTGTCGATTGAACAATGATCAATATGTGCACCTTCTCGCTCCGCACCTTCTCGCTCCGCACCTTCTCGCTCCGCACCTTCTCGCTCCGCTCTCGCCGCCTGTCCCGCCTGTTCGCTCTCGATTGCCTGCCAAATCTCGCACTCGCCCAACCAAAGCATAGCTGTACTGCTACGGTTTGAAAACCTGTGCAGAAAGTCACGGCACTCCCGGACCAGTGTCCCAACCTGCGTGATTGGCAGGGCCCCAATTCAACGGCACTCCACGCAGTCGGGCGTCGAGCACGCCACCGCGTCGAGCGTCCCGAGCGTCGAGCGCACCCCCGAGCGTCGAGCGCACCCCCGAGCGTCGAGCGCACCCCCGAGCGAGGGCCCCAATTCAACGGCACTCCACGCAGTCGGGCGTCGAGCACGCCACCGCGTCGAGCGTCCCGAGCGTCGAGCGCACCCCCGAGCGTCGAGCGCACCCCCGAGCGTCGAGCGCACCCCCGAGCGAGGGCCCCAATTCAACGGCACTCCACGCAGTCGGGCGTCGAGCACGCCACCGCGTCGAGCGTCCCGAACGTCGAGCGCACCCCCGAGCGTCGGGGGTGCGGAGCGCACCCCCTGGTCGCCCGCGTCGAGTTGTCTTCATGGGCAGTACTGCAGAATGTAAACGACTGTTAACAACTTCCATGTACAATAATGCATATTGTCCCACATGTATTCTACAAGTTTATAATGGATCCATTTGGATGTGATTCGAACAAGTGCAGCATGTCCTGCCTAACTAAAATGAAAATCGTAACAATGAAACTAAAACATCTGACATGCTGACAAAAGTCACCAAAGGTCTGATGTGGCACTTACTAGACATCATTTTTGGGGTCACAAGTCACATTTGAACTGTAGTGATGGCATGTGCAGCTTTTCAGGCTTCAGAGGGCTTTATTGACATGATCTAAGGTACAAGTAACGATACTTACAGGTCTTCAGCGATGTGAGCAAGATCTTGCATAGTCATTTTTGGCTTACACTGCTTTTGGTGCATGATAAGGGCCATAAGACTTTTTGGAACACCTTGTTTCTCAAAAAGGCACTTTAAGCCACTTAGGTTTTTCCTGATGTCTGACGTTCGCCCTTCTGATAGTTCACTACCGAGTGCGGAAGGAAGCACCCGTGCCTCAAACAAGATGTTGCGCCGATCCCGGTGACAGCGAGCTTATGCCGGTCGGCGTTGGCCTGGGAGACCGCCTTGTGGTCGTTGCAGCTTGAGTGCTGTGGACGTGTTAGCCACACGTTCGTATGCCGGCTGGATACACCCTCACCATCTTCACGTCCTTCGCTACTCTCAGGTGCTCCTCGTATGGGCCGGGATGAACCATGAACATTTTCCCCGGCATCAACGGTACGTCGTTCTCGGGCTTGCGCATTTTCATTTGCTCGGCGTGGAAGTTCCCATCCATGACATATCCTCGGGCATATAGGTACCTCCAGAACAGTTCAGCTGGCGTATACCGGCGAACAGAGTAACTACTTACTTCCTATCATCCACCTCCCAGTCCTCGGGTATGTTCACTCCGGGCTGCGGACATGCCGGGCAAAAGTGAGCAAGGTCTCCGTTGCCCGGGGCCTCTCGCCACTGTGGCCCGTATCCAAACTGTTTCTTCGCCTGGAGCAACGCCCATTCGCGGCTCACTCTAAGCAGCTCAAGGTATCGATCCTACCTCCATTTCAATCATGTGCCTTTGCTGGTATTCTGGACACTCACTCACCGGTACTTCATGGGGAAAAGCCGGATTGGTGGCCCGTCGAATCCGTGCGTAGTAATTCATGGCGGTAGTCTTACACTCCAGATTGTCCAGCAGGAAACCGTCAAGTGCCCCAAAGGTGAAGCACGTACGAGCCTTGCGCTGGCTCGCCGGATACAACCCGGCATCGAGAAGCTGCGATGTGTGGTCACCGGCGTCGGGACAGCCGCACCACGTCACCGGGAGGAAATGCACCCCGGTGGTGTCAACAATAGTCATCATTGCGGGCGGGGGTCGCGGAGGTGAGTCGGCGTGGTGAAGAGGGTCCGCTGGCACGTCGCCATCATCATCGGCCGCGCGATCGGTCGCCCGGTCCATCTCCACTTCCTCGTCATCCTCCACGACAACCGCCGGCTGGGGGCATTCTCTTCCCCGGTGGCCGAGAGTGATTGAAACTCCACTTGACGGAGCCATGAGGGCTCCCAGTATCCTCCGAGGTTCCACTGCTCAACCCGGTGGAATGGTGTTCGCGGTGCTCGGCGAGACAGCAGGTCGGGCAGAAGATTGGATAACCAATGCACGACATGCACTTCCATACCCCGCCGCCACTGTTGCAGCTCGAGCACATATAGCTCCCCTCGGCACTGAGCGCGGGAGGTTGTAGTGGGCGTACAACGATCGGAGGTAGTTGTGCTGGAGGGGAATCCACTCTCTAAGCATCTCAGGTTGTGTCTGATTGAATTGGTGAGGCTCTGTCTACGATACAACATGGGCACTTGGTATACCTGCGGGGCACTCTGTCGAACTGTGGGGAACTCGCAGAAAGTCGTGTTGGCAACATCATCGGTTGGTGGCGTCCAGCTGGACTGTCTTGTTGTCGACCGAGCGGTTCGATGGGGTGTAGCCGGCGGAGTCTGCAACCCGCTATTCTGCACCTCGACAAGCCGTGACCTCACTCCCCTTGCAGTCCTTCTTTTCGTCAGTGTGAGTTCTACCACTGCAGGAGAGGTTGCCGTTGGCCGCAGTCGACCCATGGTGTTACCAGAGCAATCAACAGCTCAGCAGTTTGATAAGGGCAGAGTTCAGCTCTGTATTGCCATTGCTCACGTCAAAACTCCTGCAACCATTGCGATTGCCACTAGTGCGCAGTATGCAGCGGGCCGGCCGCCCGTGTTCTGGGCCGGGGCCGGGTCACCGACGTGGAGTCGCTAAGTGTTGCAGTTCGTCCTAAATCAGACAGCATTTAGGATTCCATGATGGTTCGCATGAGAACGGGGCGCATAATGGCCCGGCCGGACATTAGTCAGTTGCGTATATAATGATGCGGCCGGCAAGATGTCGATCACAACGGTCCGGCCCGCCCGCCCGGTCACGTGTCCGGCGCAGTGAGTTTCATCCAGTCAGACGAGGTGCCAGAAGCATTTGCTGGATGCTATGTTGGAGCCAGATCAGTTTCAGCCGCCTTGGCTTCCGGTCGGGACGGCCGGTGATGGGTCTTGTCTTAACCTGGTAACCGGAGTCAGTGACCGGACCCGGCGGCGAGCGGGATCTGCGATACGCCGAGTACCACGGAACTGGAGAGCTAACAATTCACACCTTGGTGACTCGGTGGAATCAATGTGGGTTCGCCCGTGATGCTCCGGCCGGAACCGTCCCATTCTGGCCGGCCGGCGTGCCAGCACATCAGAGTTATGGTGATAAGTAAACAATGAAACGAATGTTGTGTTATGGTTCCAGGTAGAATTTGTGTAAGCCCGAGTACAGCCTGTTATCTAAGCTCAGAATGGAAAGGTTGTGGCGAACAAGGCTTGGGGTGTCACCGAATCTGTCACCCCGAGGCTACCGAACTCATGCCATCACCATCTTCGTCGACAAATCACACCTTGCTCACCTAGCATTCTCGCTTCACCAGGCAACTCGCAATGGCAAAGGTCACCTGGTAAGAACCGGACCTAGTGATCCTGAACAGCAACCTGGAGGATTATCAACAGGCTTCCGAGGATCCACAGCGACGTCAGGAGCTCGTGGAGAACAGCATTCAACGGCTGGAAGAGCGGAAGAAAATCAAGTTTGATGCTCAGTTGCGAAAGGTATGCATTCGACGACAATGATAGAACATTGGTGGCTCATCTCCGGCAGCGCGTCGATAAGTGGTACTCTAACCGACGGGGGTCGAAGGAGCAGGTCAAGAAGGAGATGTTTAAGCTCGGCAAGGACATAACGTGGAGGACGGTCGCGGCCCGCGACCGGGAGGATGAGCTGGGGGAGATCATGGCGAGGATTGCCCGGGAGAGGGGGAAGGATGGGTTGGATGACGACGAGGAGGAGGAGGAGGAGGGGGATGAGAGGGAGGACAAGGAAGGCAAGCCGATGCCGAGCCGCCAGATCCCGGCCATCTACCAAACCGCCTTGAAGGAGCTCTGCGACAATCTCTCGCCGGAGGACCAGGCCGACTACATGCAGGTCGCCAAGGATTGGAACACCCAGGTATGGCCGGCCGACCTTCAACGGAAGCAGCTCGAGAAATACGGCACCACCATGATCCGGGACTTCATGAAGATCATGTGGAGGAAATGCGGGGCAAGGTGCTTTCTCCTCGTCGGGATCCCGATGGCGGATGGGAAAAACGGTGTGTTAGAGTACGTGTGCCCACCGTAGTGCTAGGCTTCGAATCGTTGAATACATTGTCAGGTTTGACTTCAACGATGAGATGATACTTGAAGAAGATTCCCCGAAGGTACCGAAGTTTACTGCCACCCATGCCGAGTGGAAAACCGGCCTGCTGTATGACATGTGGAAGGCATACATCAAGACCGTGTTCGGTATGTGAGAGCTTTCGGCGGCGCGAGCGAGACCTAAATCCGGAGCAAACAGATGGGAATGGATTCGAAGAGGAAGGAGACCACAGACCGGCATCGGTCATCGAAAACATGGACTGGGAGGAGGACGAGGACGGGTATCCGCTCATGCCGCCGGCGGACCACGACTGTTTCAAAAAGACGAAATTGAAGCGTATGTTTTTGGCGACGTTCATTCGGAAGACGTATGGTACGCGTGTCCGGGATTGATACGCATTCCATTGTTGACATATTATCAACAGTTAATTTCACCGGACGATCAACAGTCAAAGTGCCGTGGCAATCACTGTCAGAACTCGGATTCGTTCATCGACCCTGAGTACCTCCCCGCCGGCACCGTGCTGAGCGACCCGAATAAGATGCGCACCGGGGACCTCGACGCAATCCTCACTCATTGGCGGGAGAGGCAAGACGACCATCCGCAGGGTCCGGTGCTGCGGTTCAGGGCCTGGAAGAATTCCAAGCTGGAGATCGTCGTCCCGGAGCCAGTAAAGCCTAAACCTTCGGCGAGGCGACCTAAGCCACAGCGTAGGCAAGCCACGCCCGGACCGTCTCGCGCGCGCCGGCAAGAACCTGCCGGCAATATTGCTAGCGATGAGGCGTTCGCAGAGGAGAGCGAAGCGGAGGAGACTTTCAGTGACCTCTTCAAAGCCGACTTGAGTACCGATGAGGAGGAGCAGCCAGCGAAACCGTCGCCGAAGCGGAAAGACAAGGGAAAGAAGAAGGCGCAGTCGCCCGAGTTGACGGACGATGAAGCACCTCCCCCACCCCGTAAGGACAAGGGCAAGGCTGCCAATCGAGGTGCTGCACCCTCGAAGGCCCGGCCCACTCGGGAAGTATCCCGTGACGACAACCCGGTGCCGGCAGGGAAATCGGGCCCACCGAAGGGGATTGCAGCGCCCGCAATGACAGCTCCGGACGGTGGGGAAAAGGCGGTGGTCATATCCAAGGCCCCACCGAGCAAACCCCGGCCCAAGAAGAAGGCCGCGAATCCCAGCAGTCCTCGGCCCGAGGTTGTCCCGGAGGGCCCGGTCCCCAAGAAGGCTGAAAAGCCCGTACCCGGCGACGGTGGGACCAAAGGGAAAGCAGAGCAGAAGGCCCGAAAACCGTCGCTCACCTCCAAAGCGGAGGCGGGCCCCAGCGGAAAGAAAAGGGCTCCGGTGGAATCCAATGCCGGGGACGACGATGAGGTGATCATCCTACCAACTCCGGGTGAGTATAAACCTGCTTCGGCTTGGGTGAATTCTTATTCCCGTCCACTTTACAGTGAAGCCGAAGAAGGCCAAAGACGCGCCGGCCGTCCGCACCGGTCGTCCTGGACCACAGCCGCATGAGGAGAGCCCGGCCACCGCTGGGAAGAGTTGGGAGGAACGGCGCCAGTGGCTCCGGGAGCTCACAGCCGATGACGGGGTGCAAAACCTGGTCAACAAACTGCCCTACCTAGTGAGCTCCACCTTGACGTGCTCGCCACTGATGTTCTGACGAACCACATCTAGTCCGAGACCGGCGCATGGCAGTCCAAGACTAAGTGGGACTGGGCAAGTTGGAACTACCGCCGGGCCAGATGCACGCCGGACATTCACAATGACAAGGACGTCCTAGCACGTTTCCGTGCGTGGCTCACAAGGATAGGTACCAGTCTTGCGGACACCCCGATGAGTCGAGAAAACGGACTTATGGTCACCTTGGCGATTGCCATGGTTGTGAAGGACATCGAGAGGAAGATCGATCACCGGAGCGACGAGGAAGACGAGATCCCACAGTACGTGCACGGATCACAACTTGGTTGGAGCTTCGTCGAGGAGCTCGGCGAACACTGCGAGACGATAGGCAAACTGTGGGAAGACATGGCACATAGGATGCAGAAGAAGCGGAAAGCTGGAGATGTCCCCGAGAAGTCGTCAGCGATCGGCGCCCGGATCAAACGGTCGAAGCCAAACCCATCTGAATCGCCTGCCAATGGTCAATCGTCAGCCCGGACGTCAAACACGAAGAAGTCTGCGTCGCCGGCCAAGGTTAAGTCTCAAAGCAAGACCACGACGGCGACGCGAAGGTCAACCCGCCGGCGTTAGCTGTCCGTGTTCCCCTCACATATGAGTTATCGTAGTTTACATTATGTCGCCGAATCAATGTCAGTCCCATACTGCTGGATTGAATGCCTGTGTGGTATCCCGATAGCATTGCCTCTGTACAGTTGCCCACTGTGTAATGACATGGCGGGCCCGATTTGGGAAGACCATCCCGGGCCGAGACCCTACGAAACTCCCGGGCCGAGACTTTACGAAACTGCCGGCCCCGAGACTTTACGAAACTCCCGGCCCCGAGACTTTACCAAACCCCCGGGCCGAGACTTGACCAAATCCCCGGGCCGAGACTTGACCAACTCCCCGGGCCGAGGTTTCGGGACAAGTCTCGGGCCGCGAT